AGTCGGTAATAACCTTTTTCATAAACTGCAACTATTTGGTTTGTCTCTTACCATGACAGCTTTTTCATGGTTTGTAAATCTGCCACTTGGGCAAATACAAACCTGGGAAGGTTTAGAAATGGCGTTCCATGCTAGATTCTTCAACCTCTTGCCAACTGTTTTTTTTACCGATTTGCTGGAAATAAAACAATTTCCAGAAGAATCAGCCTCACAGTTCATCGAAAGGGTACGACTGATGAAGGGATGTTGCCCAACAATCATTGAGGAGAGTGAGATGACCAATTTGGTGGTCAGGAATATGCATATACAACTGCGAGAGGCTTTAACGGCCCACGACGTTCAAGATCTGGCCAGTTTAGCATCCAAGGCAGGGAGGTTAGAATCCCTTTTTAGAGAAAATGATCACGACTTCCGTCATGGGGGAGGTGCTGAAGAAATGGTAGTGCAAGATCGACCAACGCGGAGGTCACCACCAGTCCGCGATAAATGAAGGTCGGGTCTGACGTAGCCTCGGAAGATGGAGGTCGGATCCGAGGCTGACGTGGCCTCGGATGACGGCCTGCAAACTCCTAAACATCACGAGAAGTGACGCTTAGGAGTCGGACGGAGGAGGCAAGTTGTTGAGCACAAATAATAATAATAATAATAATAATAATAATAATAATAATAATAATGGCAGTAAGATTCTGGATGAGTCTGAATATAAGCCAAACAGCCCAAAATTCGGGCAAAAGAGGAATTCAGGCAAAAGAGGATGAGACGGCCGATACAGAAGTCGAACAAGATGAAGTCGGGCGAAGAAAGAAATATCGGTAGACACGGAGTTCGGACAAGATAAGGTCGGGCACGGAGGTCGGACAAGATAAGGTCGGGCACGGAGGTCGGACAAGATAAGGTCAGACACGTAGGTCGGACAAGATAAAGTCGGGCGAAGAAAGATGAGACGGCCGATACGGAAGTAGGGCAAAGAAAGATGAGATGACAGACACGGAGGTCGGTCAAAAGGAGGTCGGACGAAGAAAGGTCTGTTAATTGGTTGCTTAATTAAGCGACCTGTTAATCGTCTGATCGATTGGCTGGTCATTTGGTCAGACAGTAGTTCAGTTGCTTGAAAGAGCGGTCAGTTGGTCGCTTGATTGGACGACCAATGAATCGTCTGGACGAATGATTGTTCGGCCGTTTGAAGGGACCGGATGGTGGTCGCTTGATTAGGCGACCAATGAATCGTCTGAACGAATGGTTGTTCAGCCGAGTGAAGGGACTAGATGGTGGTCGCTTGATTGGGCGACCAATGAATCGTCCGGATGAATGGTTGTTTAGCCGATTAAAGGAACTGGATGGTGGTCGCTTGATTGGGCGACCAATGAATCGTCCGGAAAAATGGTTGTTCAGCCGATTAAAGGGACTGGATGGTGGTCGCTTGATTGGGCAACCAATGAATCGTCTGGACGAATGGTTGTTCAGCCGATTGAAGGGACCAGATGGTGGTCGTTTGATTGGGCGACCAATGAGACGTTTGGTCTAGCGACCAGTTAGTATCTAGACTGGTCGGTTGGCCTGCGGTCCGTCTAAGGAGTCAGGGGTTATTTTGGGCGGCTGAGTAGCCGGTCGGGCCAGCCGCCCATTTAAGGTGGTAAGGTGTTTAGAGGCGGTCGGCCGAGCCAGTTGAGTGTTGTAACTAGCGCGAGCGGTTGGTAAGTCGGTTAACACATGTGTCGACATAGGAGGACCTTGTGGGCGGTTGACAGTGGTTGCTGTAACCGACCAAACGACGGTTCAAACCGTTTCTTTAAGGGGTTATTTAAGAATTCGGGTCTGTTCTGAAAAACCATCTTCAATCGACATCAAATTCAAACGAATTGCTTTTACGGAAGACCTTTACTTTTTCAGTATGTAGTATTTAGTTTCTATTTTATTTATGTATCGTACGGTGTCTAGAGATTCTTAATCTCAGGCATTTATTTTATCAAATTCGAAGATAATTTCTATTTTCTGATTTTACTTTTTATTGTTGAAAATCAGTATCAACAATTATTATTTTTATTATTTTTTTAACATTAATCATCATATTCATTATCATATTCTTTTAATTAAAATTATCATGGATGTGGTCGGTTTATGAGATTTTGATTTTATTATTTCAAAATATATTTTCGAAAAAAACATCAAATTAAATGAATATTTTTTATTTATCATATTATACTTATAACTTAATTTTAAATTCAAAATATTATGCTAATACCTTCAACATAATTTAGAAAATGAAATTGATACCCAATGGCACACAATTCATATAATTTAAAGTTTTTTATTTTTTAAGAAAGAAAAAAGGAAGCTTACCGTTTTACTATGTTTATTTTTATTTAGAAGTTATCTTCAAAATGGAGTATAATATTACCTAATGTATATTATTAGTTTGGATGGAGGACTTTCTTTCGTTGAGTATGAAAAATTAGGTTGATAATATAAAAAATAATATTTTATATTAAATTATTAATTTTTTTTCTTGAGTTGATTAAATATATATATTTTTTTGGTACCATTTACCATGTTGATTTTTCTATTTTCATCAGTCCCATTTATTTTTTTACTTTTTTTTGGAAAAAATATTAAACACTTTAATTTTATTTTTTTAAATTTTTTATTTTTAATTATAATTATACTAATTAGTTATCTTAATTTTAATTTAAAATTATTTTTTTAAATAATAATTATTTTTATTAATACATTTTTAATTATTTACTAATCATATTTTTCATACCTAGGATGGAAGGAGTATTATATATTATGTTTTTTTAAAATAATATTTACGAGGAATAGTTCTACCAAAAAACCCGAACAAATCCTACGGGTGTTTGTTTGTGAGTTTGAATTTTTGAAATAGTAATAAGTTAAATTTGAATAATTATTTGATGTAATATGTTGAATATAAATTATATTTATAATTTAAAAAAATAAAAGTAATTATTTAATTAAATATTTTAAAAAGAAAAAAAGATTTAAATAATAAATTTTCGTGGTTAAACTCGCAAAAGAGCACAATCTATGTTATTTACTTGGCTGTGTTTGTTTGGAAGTTTGAATTTTGAATTGAAATTTGAATAATAAAAATTTTGAATTGAAATAGTTGTACGATGTGATATAAATATATATTGATGAAATATTTTAAATGTAAAATTAATTTTTAATAAATATAAAAAATAAAAAATAAATATTTGATTTGATATTTTATATAAAAAAAATTGATAAATAATTTAAATCTTTTAATAAAATTCTCCAAACAAACACGCCTCGATGTATTTACTTTTTAGCGATGGAAACTAAAAAGGGTTTTAAGGAAAATACAAGCAATGCCAGCTCAGCAGTTCGAAGACATGTGCCTGACCACTACACACCAATTTTATTACACATGCCATTTTAGTTAACAAACAGTAGGTAGAACTAGAAGAGTCCACTGTCTAACCCCCGATTTTACTATTCTATCCCTCACGCGTTTTCTCTTTCCCCGCTCTTTTTTATTTTTTTTAACATTAATGTTAAAAAATAAAAAGTAATACTCACTCGTCCTAAATATCTTGCAATATTTGTGTTTGATATGAAAATTTAGATGGAGAGTATTAAGTATGATAATTTGAGATAATTTTGGATATTAAACGATGTGATTGAAGAGAGAAATGATTATTTACTTTTTTTATTTGAGTAATGTAATGAGATAAAGTGAAATATATATTAATATATGCATATAAATATTATTAATTATTTCTAATTTAAAAATATTACAGTAAGTTTGGAATAAACAAAAAGAAATATTGTAAAGTATTTGAGAACGAGGGAGTCGTATTTTAACATTAAATTAATATAGGTGAAAAATAAATTAAAAATTATGGAATAAATTTATTAAAAAATCTGTAAAAAATATAATAAATAAGTAAAAAGTATAATAATAAATCAATTATTATTTTTAGTAACTAATAAATTATTAATAAATAAAATTATGTATTATAAATGAAATAAATACAAATTTAATACTCCATTCGTCTCATAACAAAGTATTCATTTTTTCATTTCAGTCCGTCCCATAATAAAATATCTATTTATTTTTTTAGTAACTGTACTATCTAACTAACATTACAAATACCCTTACAACTTACAATATATTAATCATTACCTTTATATCACACATAATAACAAGGTTATTTTAGTCATTTTTACTTTATTCCTAATATATTCTAATATAATACTAATATTTCTAAAATTACGTGAAAAAGTAAATGGATATTTTTTTTTTGAGACGGAGGAAGTACATAATAAAAAATTATAACATAATTCTAAGGAATAATAAGATATACTTATATACAGAGAGAATTAAATAAATAATAAAATACTGGGAATTTCCACACGAAGTAAACTGTGTTAGAAGAACACCACCTCTTCCTTCCTTTATATCAAAAAATATTATTATTATAATCATAAATTAAAATTTCTAAAGTGACAAATTAAAAAGAAAAAAAAAAGAAAATGGTCACAAAAAGGCAAAAATCCATGGATTTCAATACCTAGGTCCATCAACACCATTACCTTAAACTATTAACGGTGTAGATTTATTCGGTGCCGTAGTCCGGGGACTAGCAAAGAAAAGAAGGGTCCAGTGTAAGAAAAAGACATTCAGACACGAAAATAATATTAAGCACAAAAATAACATCCAGAGAGAGAAAGAAGAAGAAAGAAAGAAAGAAAGAAAGAGAAGACACACAAACACAGCTGGATTCTTGCCTACACAAAGGGCCACCCCACCCCGCCCCACCCCACCCATCATTATCACAACCACAAAATTCCTCTTTCTCTCTCTACAAAATACAATTACATTAGAATCCGCCACCGCATTCTCATATGGGGGCCCAAATTCTGCAATTCTAACTTCCCAAATCTTAATTAAATTAGAAGGAAGAAGCAGCAGCAGGACAACAATGAGAGAGAGAGGAGAGAGAGAGGAGAGAGAGTTTTGTGAATTGTTATTACAATAGATTATAGAATCCCAAGTCCACCCACGTCCATTTCTCTCTCTATCCCCACTCACTACTAATTCTTGCTTTCTATTATTGTTATTATCATCATCATCTCTCTCTCTCTCTCTCTCTATGTTAAAAGTCAGTCCGTTGGTTCTGTCCAGCCATGCTCCAGTGCAGCGCTAGCTAGCTTGTAAAACAAAATCCACGCGATTTCTTTTCAATATTAATTAATTGTCGATTTAATTTAATTTCTCAGCATTTATCAAGAGAACACACATTTATAAGCCTCGCCCCCCCTCCTCCCCAACCCTTTCTTTTTTCTTCTCCCTTAAAATTTGTTTATTACATTTATTCGTTTAATTTCTCGACTGTCTCCAGAGTCTTGTGCTGTGTTTTTTATCCGTGTCTTCGCAACTACACTTCACATTCACTCCCTGCCTCCAATTGGGTTCTTCTGATTTTGTGACGCAACCGGTGGATTGTTTTGATTTTTTTTATTTTTTTTTTACAGAAAGGTTGAATCTTGCGTGGATTTGATCGAGGTTTTACCTTATTCCGGTGAGGTTTTGGATAGGGAGGGGGAGAAGAGAGCAGCAGTTTCTGGGGGCATTGGGAGTTAAATCTAGAGCGGGTTTAGGTTGGGTTACGGCTTTGATTGCAAGATTTGGAAGTCAATCCAAAGGCGAGATCTTTGTAGAAAATTTTGATTCTGGATAGAGGGCGAGGATTTGAGAAATTTCGGGTTTTAGGGATTTGAAAGGGTTTTGGGGATTCTTCGTTGTTGTGGGGAATGGCGATGAACACTGGAGGAAGACTCATTGCTGGTTCTCACAATAGGAACGAGTTTGTGCTTATCAATGCCGATGAAACCGCCAGGGTGGGTCTGCTTATTTCTTGTTCTTCGTGTTCATAATCCATTTCCATCTGGGATGTTGGTTTTGCTTTCAGATTTTCATTTTTAGATTTCTGCTTTGTGGAATGGAATGCAATGGAATGTGGTCTGTCTATCTGTTTATCTGTCTATGTTCATCGCTTACTTGGGGATCTTTGAAATGCTGCATTTGTTGCCTATTCTGTTGTGTATGATTTCAGGCATTTGTTTGGTTTTTTATAACCTTAGTTGTGTATGTAAGAAGATTATTTTCGGAAATGAGACTACATTGATTGATTCATGTATTTGATTCTGAGTTCAATTCTTTCTTACCATTATGATATATGATGTTCTAGTTTGCTTCCAAACTGTACCTTGCAATGGCTGTGGATGGTCCAATAGTTTTCCGGGATAATGATCGGAATAAAATTTCGTGCAACCCTTTCTGTAGTGAAATTCTTCTGGGGATCTGAAATGTGCGATTCAGTTATCTGTTGTGGGCTTTATACCTCTGATTAGTCTTACCTTCACGTGATAATTTCCGAGAGGAAATTGACTTTGCTGTAGTTGCTTACATATGTAAAATGCAGGTTGAGAAGCTGTCCCCGACAGCTGTTAATTGCTGAAATTAAGAATGTCGTTGTTACGTGTACAGTCTTGTTAATTTCCAGAGAGTTCAAGAACTGGAAAGCTAGTCCAAATATCGAAAACTTGTGTCATTGTTTTCGAAAATGCTAAAAAATCTGTGTTTTGTCGTTTTTTGAGTATTGTCGAGTTGGTCATTGAATGTAAGACAAAATGTGCGTTAACTAGTTATGCGATGTGTAGTTTAAGTCTAATTAATAGAACTCTCTTGTCTCTTGTAATAGATTAAGTCTGTTCAAGAACTAAGCGGCCAAATATGCCAAATTTGTGGGGACGAAGTGGAAATAACAGTAGATGGAGAGCTCTTTGTCGCATGCAATGAATGTGCCTTCCCTGTTTGCCGGACTTGCTATGAGTACGAACGGAAGGAGGGAAGCCAGTCTTGTCCTCAGTGCAAAACCCGATACAAGCGCATCAAAGGTGAGTTCTTTTTTCAGATTATCCCCTTTTTTTTTCACTATTTGTATTTTTTTGATTTGGGATTTTTAATTTGCATTGGTACTTTAGGTAGCCCGAGAGTTGAGGGCGATGAGGAGGAAGATGACATTGATGATTTGGAGCACGAGTTCGATTATGGAGATGCCGAGGCAATGGGGATGAAGCAAAATGGCAGCATAAACTCTCTCCATGGTTATTCAGGCACAAATGCGAAACAAAATGTGTCTTCTCCATCTCTAGATATCCCTCTTTTGACCTACGGTGAAGAGGTAACTAAAAGATTTATCTACCTTCTTCCTTTTTGGCATGGTTGTCGTTAACTAACTTAATTTGGATTGCTTTTAGGATGCCGAGCTTGCAGAACTTAATCAGAGTGCTATAATTGTTCCTCCGTATGCAGAACAAGCGAATGGAATTCATCCATCTTCTGCTCCAGCGCCACATTGTAATTTTTATTTTGCCAAAGAGCCTTATTCATTTAAAGTTTTGAATGTGGTTAGTTCATTTAATTTATTTGGGGTGGGTTTATGTACTAGTGCACCCCCGTTCGATGGTTCCTGAGAAAGACATTGCGCTGTATGGCTATGGAAGTGTTGCGTGGAAGGATCGTATGGAGGACTGGAAAAAGAGGCAGAGTGAGAAGCTTCAAGTGATCAAACATCATGGGGGAAATGGTGATGGAGACTTTGACGGGAGTGAACTCGATGCTGATCTACCTATGTAAGTTGTACTTCTCTACTTTAAATTTCTGTCGATTTATTTATTTATTTTCTATTGGAGATTTTAATCTTTTTTGTCCCTTTGGTAGGATGGATGAAGGCAGGCAGCCACTTTCGAGGAAATTGCCAATTCCTTCGAGCAAGATAAACCCATACAGGATGATAATTATGCTTCGGCTCGTCATTCTCGGCTTATTCTTTCACTATAGAATTCTCCATCCAGTTCCCGATGCTTTTGGCTTATGGCTGACATCAGTTATTTGTGAAATATGGTTCGCTGTATCTTGGATACTGGATCAGTTCCCTAAATGGTATCCGATTCAGCGAGAAACCTATCTTGATCGACTGTCGCTTAGGTACATGGAATTGATTGTTCTCTCTCTCTCTCTACTGCTTTTAAATTATCATTTTAGCTTTCTTAATTCACTGATACCGACATTGTGCAATTATCTCTAGGTATGAAAAAGAAGGGAAACCTTCAGAGTTAGCCAATATAGATATATTTGTCAGCACGGTTGATCCGATGAAAGAGCCTCCTCTGATTACAGCAAACACAGTTCTCTCCATCCTAGCGGTGGATTATCCGGTCGACAACGTGTCGTGTTATGTGTCAGATGATGGTGCAGCTATGCTTACTTTTGAGGCACTTTCCGAGACATCAGAATTTGCCAGGAAATGGGTTCCATTTTGCAAGAAGTTCAATGTTGAACCGCGTGCTCCAGAATGGTACTTCTCTCAGAAGATCGACTATCTCAAAAACAAAGTTCATCCTGCATTCGTGAGAGAACGTCGTGCAATAAAGGTCTGTCTCATTTTCTTTTTTGAGTATGCAAATTGTTCATATGTAATTTTGTTTCCCATATTTGTTTAATTTCGTTTCCCATATTTGTTTATTGACGGCAGAGAGAGTATGAAGAGTTCAAAGTCCGGATCAACAGTTTAGTGGCCAAGGCAGAAAAGGTTCCCGAGGAAGGTTGGACAATGCAGGATGGAACAGCCTGGCCAGGCAACAATGTCCGCGACCATCCTGGCATGATCCAGGTTAGCTATAAATTCCACTACGATTTCTGTCATTTATCCTACGGTAATTTTTTGGGCTTATTTCATTACATTTTCAATTCTTGTCTCAACAGGTGTTCATTGGTAACGATGTTGTTCGTGATGTGGAAGGAAACGAATTACCTCGCCTGGTTTATGTTTCCCGTGAAAAGAGGCCTGGATTTGAACATCATAAGAAAGCAGGAGCTATGAATGCACTGGTAATAGAAAATAGGCTGTCATACTTCTTACACTATAATCCGGTCGTTTACTTACAGCACATGTTTCTTCTCTTTGTAATTTCTTCAGATTCGGGTTTCGGCAGTTCTGTCAAATGCTCCATATATTCTGAATGTTGACTGTGATCACTACATTAATAACAGCAAAGCTCTCAGAGAGGCAATGTGTTTTATGATGGACCCTACCTCAGGAAAGAAAGTGTGCTATGTCCAGTTTCCGCAAAGATTTGATGGGATTGATAGTCATGATAGATACTCTAACCGGAATGTTGTCTTCTTTGATGTAAGTATATCATTTCTTGTTTCGTTTGGTTTTGTTATTACACTTGCGTTTGTGCGCTAACGGTCATGGTCTGGCCTGTCTGTGAGTAGATCAATATGAAGGGTTTGGACGGTCTTCAAGGACCTATATATGTTGGTACGGGGTGTGTCTTTAGACGACAGGCCTTGTACGGCTATGATGCACCTAAGAAGAAGAAGAAGCCGAGCAAGACGTGCAACTGCTGGCCCAAGTGGTGCTTTTGCTGCTGTTGCTGTCTTAGGAACAATAAGAAAGAAAAATCGAAGAAAGATAAGAAATCAAAGCATAGAGACGCGTCAAAGCAAATACATGCTCTCGAAACCATCGAGGAAGGGATTGAAGGTAAACCTTTAATTTCAAGAATTGGGGTGGGGGTGGGGTGGGGTGTTAATGAATAATTAGGGTGTGTTTGTTTGCGGGTTTGAGCTTTTGGGTTTGGATTTTTGAATAGTAAAAAATTGAATTTGAATAGTTATATGATGGGATATAAATAGACATTGGTGTGATATTTTGAATGTAAAATAAATTTATAGTATAATATAAAAACATAATCTGAATAGTGAAAATCTGTCTTAAAACCGACAAAATAACACAACCTTAGAATTTCCTACTATGACTCCGCATGTACCAATGATGCTGATTTGTAGTTTTCTTTATTCATTTTAGAGACAACTAGTATTAGTCGAGCACTTCTTCCGCAAGAGAAACTTGAGAAGAAGTTTGGACAATCCCCGGTGTTTGTGGCTTCAACACTTCTTGAAAATGGCGGCGTGAACAAGGCCATTAGCTCCGCATCACTTTTGATGGAAGCGATTCATGTGATCAGCTGTGGTTACGAAGACAAGACCGAATGGGGAAAGGAGGTACGCCATGCCTTTAGTCTTTTGATTTTTGTATTACCATTTTTTACGACGAATTCTTGTTTCCCATCTAAAATTACTGGTTACGTACCAGGTTGGATGGATATACGGATCAGTCACGGAAGATATTTTAACGGGGTTCAAAATGCACTGCCATGGGTGGCGTTCCGTTTACTGCATGCCTAAGAGGCCCGCGTTCAAAGGGTCGGCTCCAATCAACTTGTCGGACCGTCTTCACCAAGTTCTACGATGGGCTCTTGGATCTGTCGAAATTTTTTTAAGTAAACACTGCCCGATTTGGTATGGCTATGGAGGTGGATTGAAGTGGTTGGAAAGGTTTTCCTACATAAACTCCGTCGTATATCCGTGGACTTCGATTCCATTGCTCGTGTATTGCACTCTCCCCGCCTTTTGTCTTCTTACCGGAAAATTTATCGTCCCCGAGGTATGTATTGTATCTTCCATGCGATATTTTTTGTTCTTTTGCACTGTAACTAACGTATTCTTTTGCGATTTTAGATAAGCAATTACGCGAGCATCATATTTATGGCGCTTTTCATCTTGATCGCCGTGACGGGTGTCCTAGAAATGCAATGGGGCGGTGTGGAGCTCGACGATTGGTGGAGGAACGAGCAATTTTGGGTCATAGGCGGCGTTTCGTCGCATCTATTTGCGCTCTTGCAAGGATTGCTCAAAGTGTTGGCGGGCGTGAATACGAATTTCACAGTGACGTCGAAGGGAGGGGACGACGAGGGTTTTGCGGAGCTATATCTCGTGAAGTGGACGTCGTTGTTGATACCCCCGACGACTTTGTTGATCATGAATGTAATCGGCGTGCTTGCGGGAGTTTCTAACGCAATCAATAACGGATACGACTCGTGGGGTCCGTTGTTCGGTAGGATGTTCTTTGCAATATGGGTTATAATGCATCTGTACCCATTCCTCAAGGGGTTGATGGGGAGGCAAGAAAGGGTCCCGACGGTGGTCGTGATATGGTCGGTTCTAATCACGTCGATATTGACCCTTTTGTGGGTTCGGATAAATCCGTTCGTCTCGAGGGACGGCCCGGTGCTGGAAATCTGTGGCCTCAATTGCGATGATTAGGGAACAGTTGGACAGGAAGTGTGTAGAAATCGAGCTTCCGTTCGGTTCTGTGCCGACGTCGTTTCGGGAAAGGTAAAATAAGAAGAAGGGGTGTGGTAGGGTTTGTGTTGTGTAGATACTTGGAGAAGAAAGATTAGGGATGTGGATGAAGATTTTGGGATTTGGATTGATATTTGGTTGGTTGCATTGATTCTTTTGTTGGTAACTCTTTTTGTCTGTCTGTCTGTCTGATCATATGTTTGATAATTATTTGTTGTGTTTTTTGTAAGTTATGACAGACCTATCTTCCTACCTCTCAAAGGGGTTGATTTTGTGTGTAAGTTCAGTTCAGGACAGGCACCATTTCATCGTCCTCATTCTTGTTCTGGTTTAATTTTATTTCAAGTATTCTTTTGTGTATATTTTACTATTATGGTGAAATATGTAATGTTGTTGGTGAACTTGTGATTGTAGTGTGACTGTCTTCTAGCATGTTAAGGGAAGGTTCAACCGGTTGAACTACGCACCTTCGGTTCGTCGGATTTAGTTTGCAGGCTATTAGGTTCGATCGAAAGTTTATCAAGAGTACACTCATAAAATAGTAGTCGGAGATTTTCACGTCATTAAAAAAAATAAAATTGTATTACTAAACTTAGTTTGTATGTTATTAGGTTTGACTGAAGTTTATCGAGAATGCACTTGAAGAATGACGGCTGTAAATTTTCACGCCAAAAAAACGAAAAGACATACGTAATGAATGTTATGCCATGGTTGAAAATTGGTAATAAAAGCTCTTTTTTATTACAACTTTGTTACAATATTTGGGCATAACATACAGTGTAACAAATATTTTGTCATAATAATTTTTGTAAAAAATAATTATAGTCAACGTTCTTTAGATGATTATAGATATCCTTTTATTACGACATTTAATCCGTCACAAAAAATATTCGTAATAAAATTATTACAAATGTAAGTTGTGACGGACAAATGTTTTTGTTACTAGTGATTAAATCAAATATTTTTAATGGTATCTCCTACGTTACAAATATTGTGGAAAATAATTTGTCCTTTGCTTCTTCATGAATAATACAAAATTAAATTTCAATCACTACAAAAAAAAAAAATTAAACTTTAATCATTCAATTAACAAAACACATTAAAAAATCTAATGGACGATAGACTATTAAGGCCACCCTCAACACAACGGGGGTGCTTCCCAGCTAGCGCCTCATGTCAGCATTCTTTTATAAAAAAAAAAATTGCTCCTGACATGAGAGACGATTACCTATGAGTGTACAGTTTTTTCATTTTTTATTGGGTCATGGCCTTTTTTTTATCATTTAATAAATAATAAAAATAATATTTATAATATATAATAAAATATAAAAATTATATTTATAAAAACTTTGTTTTATTTAAAATATTTAAATTTTGTTAATTAATTTTTTATTTAATATTTTAAATTTATAATTTAAAATTGTAATTATTATACGAGTGTGATACATAAAAATTATTTTTTCTTAATTTATTTTGTTAAGAAAAAACTAATTTATTTTTATTAAATATTACAAAATATATATATATGATGAAAATATATAATTTTTTATTTAAAAAATATATAAAAATTTTTAATAAAATGAAAAATATGAAAATTTTAAAAGATTTTTTAATGTGGGTGTAAAATATAATTGAAGTTCTTCGTGATATGACGGAGAGAAAAATTAACGTGCCATGTGGAAAAAACTTGTGGGGAGTTTCGGCGGTAAAGGTGTCATAAAACATTAACAAATCCATAAACCGATCATTGACTATATTACCAATACAATATCTTTCAATTCATAACAACTATGAATCAGATTAAAGAACAATATCAACCAAACTATGTGCGAACATAACAATATCAACCAAATCATGAGTTAACATACTTATATTTTCGGCTTTAAATAATCAACAATAGAGGTGACTGTACAAACTGCAATGATGTGGTAAGATATACTCCTTCCCATAATTCAAATATACGTTCAATTTTATTTTATTCGGCATCCAGGGGTCACGGACCGACCATAGAACATTACATATCTACAATACTTTCTGCCCTATCCCATCTGATATATCCCTCATCGTGAATATTCCATTCCCTCTCGCCTTCTGCCTATAGAAACACAGCTTTATCATCGCCAACCTGGGCTTCTTCGGACGACCAGTCAGGACTTTCTATGGTCACTTAAGCAGACCCAAACAGGGAGTTGAAGGAGGGGGACTTATCCGAGGCTGAAAAGGGGGCTTAGAAGCCCATTTATTAGGGACAATGGAACAACAGGGAGGAAACTTCGCGCAGAGTTCTATTACTATTAATGGGTGGCTCCGGGATTTCTTATGGGCACAGGCATCCCAGGTAATTCAGTCTTATGGTTCTTCATTGTCTAATTCTGCAACAACAAAAGTGCCTGGTCAGCCTTTGGTTCGATAGGCTGGTGATCTCTGAATCCGATTCAGTACTCGATGATGGTATTCTTCTTTTTTTAGTTCAGTATTTGACTAGGTAGGAGGCTCTTAGCTGCGATGCGATATGTCATGGCCAACTTTACCAGAGAAGGAAGGGAAATAAATAATAAAAAAAAGAATCCAAATCAAAAGGGATCGATGAAAGGAGTATTAGAATTACTTAAAAACCAATTAAACAACTTTAAAAAAAAATTGAATTGAACTAAAAATCCCACATGCTTGTACGTCCACTCAATCAGATAGACAATGAATACATATGACATCCCGGCCCGCAAGCTACACAAGATCGGACTTATCGGGATTAGACTGGCCCCACAAGTCAATATGAGTGCTTCCAGCGCACTTATTTCCTCACTTACGCGCACTTAGGGTTACCCATCCTCAAATTGCCCTATATGAAGTTTTTCGTGGTCCGGTGAGTCAGGACAGAAATACGCTATAAGAACTCGTATTGATTTATGAAACCAATTTAATCCTAATACGTCCGAACGTGTATGATTTGCAAACAACATAAATCTCTAATGGTCTCATCTCCACTGATTGTTACGAATAATGCATCCGAAATCAAAACAAAAGTAACAAATGCATATATTTAAAAAGGATTACTTTGTTATACAAAAGTAATCAAACACACAAATCTCGATTGTAGTTTATATTAATTATAAATAAATACATGTATTTTTTTTATTTACTTATATTATAGGAATCTCATTCTCTATAAAATAAATTCATATTGCATATTATGATATAAGTTTTAAAATATTTAAATACAAATTATAAAATTATTTAATTTTATATATATTAAATTTATTTTAAAACTATTAATATTATTAATTATATAAAAATTAATAAAATAATATTACAATTCACTAATATTAACTAATTAAATAATATTACTTTAAATATTTTATAATTAATAAAATAAGTCAATTAATAAAATAAGGCAATTACTTCGAGAAAAAGTAAGTATTATACTATCTCCCTTAACAAAAAATTATGTACATATAATTTCACTCATAATTTTATTATAGTACTTTAATACATAATTTTCTATTTACTTTTTCAAATTCATTAGTATTTTTTATTTGTTTTTTTAAAATTTTTTATAATATTCTAATAGTATTTTTTAAAAATTAAAATATTACTTTCTTCGTCATGTTTTAATAGTTTTATTTATTTTTTATTTATTAATTTTTAATATTAATTATTATATAAAAAATGATATAAATTTAAAAAAATAACAAAAATATTTGTATTAATATTTTATCATACTATTATAATAAATATTATACATACTTAAAAAGAGAAAATATTTTTAATAATAATATATAATGCAAAAGATAAATGAGATTGGAGAGCCGGACAAATAAAATATTATTTTTAATTTTTATATCCAACTAAAAATATACTTAATTTTATTATATAAACAAAAAAGCCCTAACCCAAACCCTATCCACCGCCTCTCCGTCCCCCAACGTTTTTGTCGTAAAACATCCGGTCCACTTTCCACCGCCGCCGCCCACGCCAGTTTCTTCCTCTTTCTCTTCCTTCCCCTCATTCTTTCCGTTATTTCTTCTCTTTATTTTTTGCCGGAACAGCCGGCTTGCTATATTGGGAAAGTTCAGAAAAGTGTCTGACCGGAGACCGCAACCCATCGGTTTTCATTATCTACTCGATTCATTCATTGTTGATTTTTTAAATTCTCCAATACCTTTCCCATGTCATCTAGCAGTGGTCGTGTGGGTTGTGGCTTCCGCTCAGACAATTTCTGAACTTTCAGAATTCAATGGCAAATGTCTCTTTGTTGATAATTTCTGTAAGAATCTTTTCTTATTATTTTGTTTTCAAATTTGAAATGCAAAAGGTAAGCGAGGTTTTTTTTTTTTTTTGGATAATTTCTTATTTATGGATCATGTAGTATTTCTATTGATGAGTCGGACATTTAGAAAGTTGATATTTTCCATAAAGGTAGATGAATTAGTTGTTACGATTAGTCACTTTTTTTTTTAATTATTATTATTATTATAAAAGGTAGAATGATATGTCACTGGTGGAATTCAAAACTGATCTCAAGAGTGATAGGAGTATTTTGCAGGCAATATAATGATTTTTTTTTGGTTAAGTAGTTTCTTGGTTGGCTTATTATAAATAGGTGTTTAAACTGTGTTGATCTAAGTGGGTTTTATTTGTGGACTAAACTTATGCCTAATATCTCCATACTTTGTGGCTATGATTAGATATGTTGTGTTTTGGTGTTTTTGAGTTATTTTAGAAATAGTAAAAATTTGAATGAAAAATATAAGCGGTGGATATGATGTTTTAATTAGACAATAGAATTTTTATTAAATATTTTAAATGAGAAAATAGGAAAGAATACAAAATGAACTTAAAAATGTAAAATAGTTACCTCTGGTAAAAACACCAAACCAAGTATGCAAAGACATGATTGAAAAGTTTGGTATGCGGAGCTCTAAGACTATCCGCGGGGACAATAGGACAAGTTGCCGAAGGATATTGAAGGGAAGGATTTTGATCAGAAGCTTTATATGAGTATTATTGGGAGTATGTTGTATCTTACTCTAGCAGACCAGACAGTACGTTTAGTGTCGGTGTTTGTGCCCGATTTCAATCAGTCCCGAAAGAATCCCACTTGAAGGCAGCAAAGCGAATCTCAAGGTATATTCATGGAACCTCCGAACTTGGATTATGGTATTCGGAAAGATCATCGGTTGATCTAATTGGATTCATTGATTCTGACTGAGCCGAATGTTGTGATGATCAAAAGAGTATAACGGGAGGATGTTTTTACATTACTGAAAACTTGATAAGTAGGAGTTCGAAGAAGCAGAGTTCGATTGTTCTATCCACTGTTGAAGTGAAGTATGTTGCAGTTGGAAGCTGTTGTGCATAATTACTTTG